ACAGTGTCATATACCAAGCTCTGGAAACAGCAAATTCGACATTAAATTCTATCGTACCTGTTCGTTATGCAGCACCAGAAATACTAACAAATGATTCAGGAGAGTCATATTCACAAAAGTCGGATATGTACTCAATGGGTGTTCTGATGTGGGAAGCATATTCTAAAGGTTTAGCATTACCGTGGTCCGAGGTTTCCACCGATGCAGAAGTTATTCGAAAAGTAATTAATGGTGTTCGATTAAGTCGGCCGTCACCTTGCAATGAGCAAAATTGGACAATAATTCTTCATGCAATGTCGCAGCTACCACAAGATCGTCCTAATTTTATAGATTTAAGACATTCTTTAACAAAGACACAATACAGTACGGGAGAATTGAAACCGTTGTTAACGCGTAGGAATCGCAACAACAGTGAAGCGGTGAGTTTTAACAATTCAGCTATATAATCGATACGAAGAGTCTGAGTAATGCAAGTTTTTTCTCTATTTTCTTTCGAAGGGGCAACGAACGCCAGTATTAAGTGCATTTCCTTCAACCAATGGTGGCAAGAAAATACTGATTACACGCCTCACTGAAAACAATAACCGTAGTGAGTATAGATTATTAACAAACTGTTTTGCAATTCTGAGACGTTTTAATACTTCATCAAAGCTATTGTTTATCTCTTTACATTTCAGAATCATTTCCAGCCAATAACTTCGATAAAATACCTTGTGAATATTGTAATCAGCTGTGCAGTTCGCTGCTGTACACAGATCATGCCGTATGTGTACATAGATACTTTTCTTGTTTCAAATTGTAAGTCTTTTATAAGCATAAGCAATTATAAAAGACTTACAAATTGATACGCAATCCGTATACAGCAACGCTAGTCGTCAGTAAATCCTCATTTTTTTGTAATTACTATCGTGGAGGACGTGGCCCACGCGCAAAATACCAGTATAATGCCTCAGTTTTCTAAACCGTTAGAAACAGCCCTTCAAAATACCGTACAGTGTAAGCGTTTCTTAGATCATGATAAATGATTAAGAGACGGTCCGTACTGCCATTGCGAAAGTCTATTATCCAGTTAAGCTGAGCCCCTTTGTTATGCGCGTATCGCGTAGGGTAACCAAAGTTGTCTGTGAATTCCAATTTTTAGACCACTAGACTAAAACGCACCGACATACAAACCTTCTCTCTTATAAAGCGGATTATGATTCACGTTCAAGAAGAATCAGCTGTCCCTATGTGTGTCCCAGATTTTAGAAGCCCTTCTTGGATATCCTTTTGTATATTACAAAAAAAACAAATTGAAAAATGCCACGAGCTTCCGCACACACAGTTAAAACAAACCATACTGACTTATACATAGAAGAAGGACGGAGCTATTTATAGAAGAAGGTCAAATTTATAGAGTGATTTCTGGAAGAATATGGTCCAGACACAAAAGATCCAGGCAAAAATAGAAAATAATAAAACAGATTCTGTCATTCAATGAATGAGAGGGAGAATACGATTCCATAAAAAGATGATTGTTTCCCGCTAGCCGTCAAAGATAGCCGTCAGGAACCTCGGTGGAAGGCTTCTGTGTCACGTAAAAAGACTACTGACGGTCAGTAGAAAATAAACTAAAAAGAAATAAGAGTGACTGATGACTAACAAAAAGAGAAGAGACTGACGAAAAAGAACCTCAAATAGAAAAAAAAGAAAAAGTCTTTTTAAAGACGAATTTGATTTCTGTTAGAGGTTACTCTCTACCAATTTCTCAAAAGACCTCGGAGACATTCTATTCTGTTTTTTTCAAGTGACAAGACGCGGTAGGTATATCATCTTCATCAGGTAGTGCTTTGATCCTAATGGAGTTACTAATGAGTCTAGAGATTTAATGTTTGGGACCATATAGTTATCCATCAAGCTGCGTCGAATGACTGCCTTAGTTTCTTCAAAATTCTCTCTATCTTTTTGCAGAAAGAATTTTTCTAAAACTGTTAAGATGTCGCTAATTCAAAACTCAAGCAAAATGTTTTTTTCGAACTTATTATACATTGCTGGATGAAGCTCATCGAGCTGATTAAGAAAATGTAGTTTTAATTTTTCAAAAGAATTTTTTAGAATATCCGACTTA